TGAAATGACTACAATCTGAAATGACTACAGTCTGAAATGACTACAGTGTGAAATGACTACAGTGTGAAATGACTACAGTCTGAAATGACTACAATCTGAAATGACTACAATCTGAAATGACTACAGTCTGAAATGACTACAGTCTGAAATGACTACAGTGTGAAATGACTACAGTCTGAAATGACTACAGTCTGAAATTACTACAATCTGAAATGACTACAATCTGAAATGACTACAGTCTGAAATGACTACAATCTGAAATGACTAGTCTGAAATGACTACAGTCTGAAATGACTACAATCTGAAATGACTACAGTCTGAAATGACTACAGTGTGAAATGACTACAGTCTGAAATGACTACAGTGTGAAATGACTACAGTCTGAAAGACACGCTCATCCTTCAGATGAGGCGCCGCAGACTGAGTCCTCTGCCAAATCTTGAACATTAACTCCGTATAAATGCTCCGGGTGTTTCCACGGGGCTGCTGAATACAAAATCATCATTATGCTTATGTAACAAACTTACATGCTCAGTGCTGCATATTATTTTCAACATGACTCACATTTATTGTGTTTTTCAGGCAGAGGAGAGAAGCAAGTACGAGCTAATGGGCAGCTGTGGCCAGCAGAGGCTTCTTCCAGAGGCTGAAGGTGAGATCATGCAGTCAACACAACCCACAGGTTACATTTCATTGTTTTCATCCTGCCAAACTTGTGCAAATTGCACTTGTTCCACATTTTGCAGTGATTTTAATTGAACAATTGACGCGGTTCGTTACTCGAGCTCCTTAAACTAACTCGGATTTACTCACTGAAAGTGAATTAAATGGATGAGAATCAGAATTTCTTTAAACCTGTTGCTCGGTGTGCACGAACTGAAATGAACCAGAAAAAAATTCAGTCTGTGAAAGCAAAGGGAGTAAAAACGTGGATGGATGGATGAATATGAAAAGTAATGGAGATAAACTGATTAGACTTCTCTTTCTCTTTCATTTATTAGACGATTCTGCCAATTCTTTTTCAAAAGCATCAGATTTTTTTAGGAAGTTCTAATGAATTGATCTTTCAGAGAAAGCTGTATGAAGATTTTCCAGTAAATAAAACATTGGTGCTTTGTTGAATAAAAACAAAATGAGTCGTGATTAGTTAAAAGCTGACTAATGGCCTCCTGTTGACTGTTTCATGGAATAAAAAAGTGGGACTCATCCAGACGAAAAGGCACTTTTAGTTGTTATTGTAACAGAAAAAGACATTTAACTTAAAAATATATATATTTTAGTGATGAGAACAAATGCTCTACTTTTTAAATCTGCTTCTGACTTGTTTAATTTCTTTTTTTTATGTAAAGTTTTTATTTTTCTCAAGGCACTAACACAGCCTCCTAAATGTTGTCAAAGGCATCCATGTAATCAAACCCAGCCAGCCAAGCAGCAGACTTTATGTGATCAGGTGTCTTTTTCTCAAGATCCTGGTTTTGATCCATTCTTCGCTAACACAACTCCATGCAGAGCAGCTCTTCCAGGAAGTGGTGGCAGGTTTGTGACTTTATTTTTAGTCCTTCAGAAACCAGAAAGAGCTTGGTGCCCAGGGTGATTCAGAAATGGGGTCCATCCATCTGTGCTGTCATGAGTCACTCTAATTTCATCTGTCCTAAAAACTTGGAAAAATCTGGCTTTAAGTGTTTTTGGCTCAATTTTAATCCTTCAACTTGTGAGAAGTCTTTATTCCGTTTTGTAGCACAAACTTTTCACAGGGAATAAGATTTAGGTGCAATATGTCTAAAACCCTCACATTTATTTTTGTCTATGTATTTATTTATTGATTTATTTTCGTACAGTTAGAGATATCTTTTCTGACAAAGCCTAGAATACTTTATTTCCTACAATTTTTTTTGTTTTTGTCAGAACTTTTTTTCAGATGCTCTCATAAGCTCACAGCAACTTTACTATACACTCATGTTCCTAGGTGTGTGTTGTGTGTGTGTGTGTGGGGG